TTATTAAGGTTTGTAAGAGCTCTATATAAAGCTCCTTTTCTCATTAGTGTTGGGCACGTTTTTGATTCTAATAAAGTATTATTCAGTCAACTTGCTTGGAGCAATTTGTCTTGTTTCTCATTACGGATTCAATTAAACTCTTGTGTGGTTTCCCCTTGAGTTTGTTAGTCCAAGAGAGTCTTAATATCCTTGAGTGGCTTCCCCTTGGATCTTAGTCTCTGCCTCGACACGAACCACCCTTGTTCGTGTATTGTTCTTCAACCAATTCACCATCTTCCGCAAACCGTCAAGTCTTATTCTAATTTTAGTGTTGTTCGATTAAATATAATTTAATCTTACATCAAGAACCTCTAGACAAAATCAGCTGAAGTTCACAACTAAGAACACAAACATCACCTCCAAAATCCTTTACTTCGAGAAACCAAAACCAACAGCTTACCAAAAAGACCAAGAGAAGCCGAGGCAACGAAAGTGGAACCTCCTAGCGAATAAGCCTACTTCACATCTTTTAGAGACCAAGAAATCAGACTCCGGCAAGATAAGATCATGACCATAACAGGTCAAGATCCTTATAGTTCCCCAAATACGATGAAGTCAAAGTAACAACGACTTGACTAGTACACACCTCTTCTGAATCACTTGATATAATAAAGTTTCGATTAGACCTAAACTTGTAGAGACAGTACCAAGTATCTTTTTTAACATTTTTATATGTGGTCATTCAAAGGTTACTTGTTTTTTATTTGACTATGATCCTATTAAAAAAACTACTTTTATACTAACTTTTTCCTTGTTGACAAAAAAAAAATACTAACTTTTTCCTTGTTAAGATTTCTGTTATATAACTTAGTATAGATAATCCATTGGTTACTCACAACAAATTCAAAAAAAAAAAAAAAATTGTTTATAGATGTGGGTTTTGAATGATAACGACAGGTGCGATAATCAAACCTTTATGTTTCTGAGGTAGGTAAAGCGGAGGTAACACATTTTATTATCCTTTTATCTTCACAAAATTGTTTGCAATATTTTTCTTCTTTTTCTTTTATATCTCCCATTAAAATTCAAAACTTATGAATAATAAACAAACATATTATAATTCCCTTTTTATCATTACCATTCGGAAACCATGATTACTGATTTACTTCTGTCGCTATTGTTATTAGAGTTCTTTTTACCTTCTTTGAGGTTTGTTAAAAGAACTTTTGTGTCGAAGCTTACAGATGCTTCCGTTTTCACTTTGTTCAAAGGCTTTACAACGCAGTGTTCCTCTGCAATTGTAGCCAACATCTCGATTGATAATGCTGCCGTAGTTGCAGTTTCAATTCTGGACATTAGATCATTGAGTATGGTCTTTGATTCCCGAAACGTCGCCTCCCCTTCTAGCAACAATGGCGTTGAGTTACTCCTCGGCTTTGATTGTTTATGCGTTTGGCTCGTATCTATCTTCTTTTGATATGCTTTATGTTTTGCTTTTGTAACATTGTTCTTGTTGGCCCTGATGGCTTTGATTTCATATTTTATAAACATTTTCTCCTTTAATGGAGAGTAACAAAATCTATGAAAATCTTTGATGATTAG